TATTTGGTTTTACCGCTCTGGTCAGTACTGAAGGCTTAGAAACACAGTTACCTGTAAACTTTCCTTGACTCCCGTAGATCGCTCTTTGCAACACAAAGTCCTGGACCTGGAACATGAATCAATTTGCCAAGTGGATTATTTTTCTTTCCTGGAGGACACTGGGTGAGGAAAGTGGGAAGAATCAAACGACGCGAGCATGTTTGGCATGCTGTGGAGTAGTGGGAAAGATTCCAGGTTGCCCTGAAGTCCTAGCTTCTTGTCTGTGACCGCTGCTTCCTGGCTTTGTGGCCCAAGCGTTTACTCCCTTTTCCTAGGGCTCAGCTTCCTGCTCCCTGAAGTGGCTTAATGGAGGAACTGGACCAAAAACCAGTGTGATTTCCTTTTACAAAGAAGGGGTTTCTCGAGGTCATACGGATACAATATGTACAGGAAACCTAAAAGATCTGATGGTAAGAAATGGGGTGTTCATGTGCCCCCAAGGGGCCTCTTCACACAGTGCTTGTTAGTTAGCTGAGAATTCAACAAACAGGAATTAAAGGACTCATGATGTGTAACACGGGTGACATTGACTACTGCCGAAAACCCCAAACCTGAGACGACTTTACCTGTACAGAAATTATCAGATATCCAGGCTGAGGAAGACTCCATGAAACAAGCGCGATATTATTTTCAATGACATAAAATAAAAAGGAAAGGAAGAAAAGAAAAGGCAGGGAAGCACTGGAGACTGAAGACAACGCCATGGACGAGACAATCAATCCGGTGCAGTCAGCTCTGATCCCAGAACGTTTCCCTCAAGGGAAAGCAAAATGTGAGAAGTGTTCCTGGGATGACAGAAGAAAATTGAAAATAGACTGTTAGACAATACTACATTAATGTAACTACTGGGGTATGAAAATGGGTTTGTGGTTTAACACAATAAGGTTCTTAAGGACACTCTTGCTGAATCACTTGGTGAAAGTCACAAGTTTAAATTTAGAAAATCTGAAAGATTGCATTTATGTGAATACAAATACAGAAAAATACTAACAATCGGTGAGAGCAGGTGAAGGGTAGGTATACGTGTGGTCATTGCACTATCCCTGCAGCTGGTTTTTTGTTTCTTTAGTATTGAGACAGAACTCAGGGCCTTGCACGTGCTAGGCAAGTATTCCACCATTGAGTCCTACGCTGGCTCTTTTATATTTTTATGCTGAGACAAGGCTTGCTAAATTGTCCAAACTGGCCTTGAGTTTGTGATCCTCTTGCCTCAGCACCCTGAGTACCTGGGGTTACAGGCATATGCAAGATCACTGGAAGTCTTTCTATGTGTTTGAAAATTTTCAAAAGAAAAACATTTTAGGGAGCAAAGAGAAAGATGAGTCGGGCAATTTTTGAAATAGGTGGGATTGGAGGTTCTTCTCCTTTTCTTCATCTTCCTTCTCCTCCTCCGCCTTCATTTCCTCATTCCTCTTTCTTTTCTTCTTTTTGGGACTTTGCAGATTGAACCTAGGGCCTTCGCACTGAGCTCCGCCTTCATCCCCTCCCCCTTTTTTCTGAGAAGGTCTCACTGAGCTGCTCAGCTCACGGGCTGGGCTAGAACTAGAAATCCTCCTGCCTCCATCTGACATAGTACTTGGCTTTATTAGGTGGGTTGTGTGTGGAGCAGGACCTGGAGATGGGAAGACACAGCTCAGGGGATAAGGGCCAGTGAAATAGGAAGGGGCAGATGCAAGGGCTGGGGAAAACCCAGAGAGGAAGCATTTCTTTCTTGTACCATTAAGAAAGTCTCAGGGAGAAAAAAAGTATGTTTTCTGGAAGATTTATCTCCAAGGAGAAGGCATTTACTGTATTTCCTTGAAGGAGTATTTGTCTTCTTGGAGGAAGCCCCATCCAAGTGCCCACTAAAGGTTCTGGCTTAAGCTTCTATTGCAATTATTTGGAGATAGTTCTGGCATGACCTGGGCCTCTCATAACTCCTAGCTTCAAGGAGAAAATAACAGCATGAGTCAGCCAGTTTGTGAGCTGAAGGGTCCAAAATTGATTTTACCTTGACTGTAGTTGACTCAGAAGACTTGAGAAAGCCTCTTTCCTTCATTCAGCCCAGCTTCTACATCTTGTTCTATAAGAATCTTGCAACTGTTTCATCAGACAAAGAAAAGAAGATGAGTGAGAGAGAGAGAGAGAGAGAGAGAGAGAGAGAGAGAGAGAGAGAGGAAACAGTACAAGGAAACCCAGTCTGGGCAGTGCTGTGGGTAAACACTTTAAAGCCCTTCTCTGGGCCACACCATGGCACTGACAATAAATGGTGACATTCATCTGTGTATCTGTGCTCTTATTATGAAGTTGGAATTCATGAAAATTAACTGATAACACTGCATCCATGGTTAACTGTTAGAAGCCGGCCCCTGGAATCAAACCTGCATCCAATACTGAAGTGGCTATGGTATATCTCACCCAGATCTCCTTGGCCAGCTGGTGTTGGTTCAAAACCTACCACAGTTTCCTCTGTATGGAAGAATTTTCCTTCCCAGTGGGAAACCCTTACCCAGCAGGCTGCACACTCTTCACTGTCTTAGGTCAGGGACAGGCCTCGGTAATATCTAACTGCATAGGGGATGTAAATGGTGGTCTTATTTCATGGTGGTCAGCTCTGTGGTGCAATGTGTGGGATCTAACTACAGTGAGTTTCCTGCTGAGAAACATCATTCCTTATCTTTTTCCCCTCCCCCTGCTGCTTCCCTTACGCCTCCTCTCTTGAGAACTCTCCCACAATGAAGCACTTGAAGATGAATCCTTGTCTCAGGCTCTGCTTCTAGGACACCTATCCCAAGAAGAGTATCTTTTAGCTGTGGGTATTATAAATAAATGATAGCAACTGAAACAAATGCATCATCATATTAAGTTTCCATGGCTTTAACATAATAGCTGTTTGACTTGCATCATGCCTACTAGGTAGAGTACTAGAGGGAGGGGACAGTGTATTCTGCTTTACTTGGACACACAAAGACTGAGACTGATGGGGCTCTGCTATCTTCCTGTCTGACCCTAAGTCACCAGAGTTACCTTGATGTGAACATCTTTTCTCAAACACAGATGCACAAGTCTTATCTGCCCATGTTCCATTTGTAGCGATTAGTCATACGGCTCACCTAGAGGAAAAGGGAAAAAAATGTGGTCCCAGACTCCAGAAGGAAAGTATGAATCTTTGGTGGGCAGTTATCTATGCCAAACTGTGTAGCCTTGGGCCAATTTATTTAGCACCTGTGGGGTTCGGTGTCTTCACCAATGAAACTAGGCTACTAATAGAGCATTTTGTAGCTTTGGTTATTTGTGATGAATAGTTGGATCCGATCCTGGAACAGAGTAAGGATCTATAATGTTAACTATCTTTATCATTTGTTAAGAACCTGCCTCAGCTCATATGTAGATTTTAATCTTCCCCATAATGGTTATCCATGCAGTAACCATTACATCTACTTTAGAGAATAGAGAAGAGAAAGTTAGTCAATAACTTGCTGCGCACAATCAAGAGTCCAGAGCAGGGCCTGATAGTAAGCAAAGCTTTACAGACCAGGGAGAGTTAGACTTCAGCTAAATAACCCATCTCAGTCTTTGCTGTGGTCACATGAGATCTGCAGGATGCCCTAATGATGTGCCCTAGGTCTTCACTGCCAGATGCGGCCACCAAGCTGCTCATATCTCCTGTCACTCTCACACACGACAGCCCAAGCTCTGGCCTGTTTTCTAGTCCTTGCATGTGCTAAGCTTGAACCAAATACAAGGGCTTTGCACCCAGGCTTGTGCTTTTCCTGCATGTCTGTCTGCAGCTGCTTCTCAGTTTTCTTTCTGCTCACCACTCGGATATCACCTTCTCGGGAAGGTCCTCGCTGAACCCCACCCACCCGATCACTTACTGAATGTCCCCTTTAGGGTACACAGGTAGTAAAGACACCATAGGAGGTAAGAAAAACATGCCCTACATGCCTGACAGATATTAAATTTCCAAACAAATAAGAATGCAGTGTACACAGATGGCAGAAATAAAGATGTAGTTGCAAATCACATACTCACTTCTCTTTCTCTTCTGCTCTTGTCCTAGCCTTCCATCTCCTGCCTCTTGAATGCTTTCATATGTATTTGCATCTGGCGTCTGCAGTCCTGACAGAGAGCTCTTATTCTTCCTTGTCTCATATCAGCCCAAGGTGATGGTTTGCACAGGCTTGGAAAGTTGAATTATAAATATAGAGGAATGTTGGGAACTGGTTGATGAGCTTTTGGTAACTTAGAATCAAATGTGTTGGGGGATTTGCACAACAAAAATAAGTAAATACTTGTAGATATTATTTTGTGAAAAGCCATTTCCCATATCTTCATGTCACAGAAATTTTGCAATGTCAGGGAATCTCCTAATTCTTCATAGATGCTGGACTCCACTGCTACCTCCTTCCTATACCGTATGTCCACTCCTTCCCAGGAGGAACTCTGTGGGCTGTGTTGTGCTATGAGGAGAGAAAAGAGAACAGAAAGCTTTAAAATTACAAAAAAAAAAAAAAAAAAGGAGAATTAAAAATGCAGTACAGGCAGGAAAAAAAGAGAGAGAGAGGGAGAGAAACAGAGATTCTGAAGGGAATAGTGACTAGGTCAGAAAGAACTTGAGAAAAGTCACTACTGACTGTGCAATGTCCTAATAGACAGTTAGGCCACTTCCGCCAGGGTTAAAGTTGGCTAAAGTGGCTAGGATGATCCAATATGAAGAAACTGTTCTCTGAAATTACTCTGAGGCAGAATGGGGAAACGGACCCACGTGCTCAGGAAGAGAGAAATCTAGAGGTCTGAAAGAATAGGACCTTTATCTGTATTGGGAAGGCCTCTAGGGGCCCAGATTCCTCTATCTCAGGGAAGTGGGCTGGAGCCTAGACTTCTGGGTCTGAGGAGGGGCCATCCAGGTATCTAACACTTTCAAACAGTAGCCATGCAGAGGGTGGAGCCTTGACTTTACTTAGAGGGAAAGTGCACTACACACCCCTTCCTGGTTGCCCTGGCATTGTGAGGTATAAAAAGGATGCATTTCCTGGGGAGAGAACCCATAGGGGATTTTTGTCACCACCTGAACATGAGTCCTGCCCCACTGCTGGCCTTCTTGGGCGTCACTTTCTTGCTGCCCGGTGAGTGAATACCCCTGCTGGGAAGAGTATTTTCCTTGAAGTCTAACAAGGGAAGCTGTTAAGATGGATTTGCTCTCCCTGTCACAGATGTGCAGACACTGTACTGTCAGTGGGGTACTGTAGAGGTTGTGAAAAATGTATCAGAGCTGCCCTATGAGTGGACGAATTCCCAGACAACCTGTGAGACTGGTGAAGGTTGCCGAGAAACAGCGATACTCATAAAAAATGGTAAGAAGGGGTCCTCCTTGCCAAGAGCTGTCCCTCAGGATCAAGGCTTCCCCAGCACCCCCAGTGAGGGCTCCAGTGGATTCACTGGGTACAGTTCACTCCTCACAACCCTACCCAGCTCACCAGGCCAATCTTGACTCTGTGATGCTGGAGCCCTGATACCAACCCTGCCTGCTATCCTCTCTCCATCCAGGACCCCAAGTGACCCTTTTACTCTCCAAGGGCTGCACTATGGAAAAAGACCAAGAGGCCACAGTCACTGAGCACAGGGCAGGCCCTGGGCTTTCCATCATCTCTTACACCCGGGTGTGCCGCCATGGATTCTTCTGCAATGACCTGTCTACCACAGACCGTCTCAGCGGCCTACCCACTGCCACAGGTGCCAACCCAGAATGCTGGAGAGGACAGGGAAGGGGTACTTGGAGGGAAGAGGACAGGACTGAGGGCTCCACTGAGTGCACAAGGGCTGCTTGAAGATATCCTCTGGCCTAACACCAGCCTTGCCAGCTCACTGGTTACATCCTTCCCTGATTGCTCCCTTGCTCCTTTCTTCTCTGGATCCTTCCTGGCCTGTCACCTCTCATCTCTTCCCTGTTCACTCCTCCCTACCTCCCATCATGCTGTGCATGTGTGCTTCAGTCTTCCCCAACCAGATTCATCTACTATCCCTGAGCACAAAACTCGGCTGGTTTTTCTATTATGAAAGCACCAATTCAGCCTCTGGCTATGATCCTCATGTGGTCATTCTGCATATTTCTTCTTCCAGTACTACAGGGCTTCCTTCAGTGATGCCTCACTGGGGCATTTAATGTTCCTCTGTCCAAACATCATGTTATAGAATTTAGGGGCAGTTCTGTGCTTTCCTCCTCTGGAATATTTTGTGAACAGGGCACCTTACCAATATTAATTGCTTTGCAGAACTCTTGGGGGAAGCCAGTGGTTTCCTCAAGGGTACCTTTTCCCTCCCTCCCTTGGTCAAAGCTGTGTAGGTTCACCCTCAGAAGACCTCTCCCTCTGCCTCCTGGTTTCCCAGCACCTCTCCTGCACTCAGCCCCCACTCTTTCTCAGGAGCTCACATTCCCTCGGACCCCTGATTGCCTACAGCTGGGCCTTCATGAAAAGAATGACACAAGAACACATATGCAAGGGGATGGGCACGGAGCAGACTGTGTTATTGGAACCAGAATAACCAAGACAGCTGCAGAGAAAGGCCTGCTCCAAATGCAGAGCCATCACACTGCCCCTCACTCTGTCCCATCTCCAGTCCCAGGGACGCTGCGGTGCCCAGTCTGCTTTTCGAAAGGTGACTGTCCAGAAAACCCACCACAGCAGATCTGTCCAAAAGGACACACTCACTGCTACAATGGAGTCCTCGAGGTCAGGGGAGGTAAGTCTGGACACTGGGGTCCTATGGGACAGAACTGGGACCACTGAGAACTGAGATTTGAGTCCTTATAGTGTAAAGGATAGCTGAAGTAGGATACAGCATTCAGAGGAGGCTGAGACTGGTTTCTGGAACTGATCTTCCCACAAGAACTGGATGGTCCATTAGATCAGCATCTCTGTTTCCTGTCTTTCTTTTACCAGGGGGCATTGCCACCAATCTGAGAGTACAGGGCTGTATGCCCCAGCCAGGCTGCAACCTGCTCAATGGGACCCAGGTCATCGGACCCATACATTTGAGTGAGAACTGCGGTCCTAAGTCAGGTGAGTCCCACATAAGAAAACCAGGCTGTGGGCTGCACTTCAGGGTTGGGAAGGTGATGTTTAGCAGTACAAAACGTGCAAAAATATCATACCAAAGCCAGCAACCCAAACTGATTAGATGCTTGTTACTCATTCAGGCTTGTACAAAGTGAAGGGGCTCCCTGGGTTGCAAGACAGCGTGTCGTCGTGAGGTGTCCACATGAAGGAGAGAGAGGGGAGTGTGGTCGAGAGGATGTATGTATAGGACAGGACCCCACTAGTAGCATTTTCAAATGATCCTGCACCAACTAAATGGGAGTGGCTCGTCCATGTGCTCAAGAGAGGTGAATGAGAAAGTCGTGGGTGTGAAGTGACTTGGAACATGATTTTCTGTAGCTGTCATTGTACAACCACTGGCTTGTTGGAATACTCAGAGTGATCAGTTGCTTCCACTTCTGCTCTACATATCCCTGAGTGTTGATAACCCTGGTCTGTCACTTGCCTTGACCTGCTGTTGTCTCTACCATCCTCTTTCATCCCTGAAGTCCCAGAGCAACGCAGTGGCCTTGCTGCACAGGAAAGAAAGAGAGATACTGATGGGGTGTCGGGGTTGACACAGAAGCAGGGTTCCATGGAGATTCTGAGTGTGGAGTCCTCACTTACTACTTTGTGCGTCCAGACTGGCACACACCAGACAGCTGGCATGTCACAGGGTATCTCCGTCAGAAGGCTTGCAAGATAAGTGAGTGAAGGCAGGGCAGAAAGGTGGAAATGGAGCCCACGGTCTTCCTTCTCCATGGCCAGCTTCCTCATCAGCCTGTATCACTGTAACCCTTAGCGTTTCAAAGACAGAGCAGAGTGAGAGCAGCAAACATCTCATGTGATGTTTCGATCTGTTTCCCCAGGGAGAGCGGAAGCCCTGAGGAAGTGAGCTGCGGGTCACTCACGTCTAGGTTTCCAGTCTCCCAAACCTGCAGGCTGGCTAAGAGAAGACACTTGTTGCTCCCTGTGGATGGCGACCTGACCTGGCAGTACATTTCCCAAGAGACTGGGCACAGAAACCTACTGTTTGTATTTGCTGTTTGTATCCTATGCTCAGGAAACCTGGTCTGCAAGAAGGGAACATTAGAAACGCTACGGGATGTGTCGACTTTTCCAGTAGAATGGACAACTCCTTGGCAGTCCTGTGAGATCGGCGAAGGGTGTCAAGAAACGGTGGTTCTCATAGTGAATGGTGAGAAGGGCTCCTGAAGTGCTGAGCTCTGCCCTTTTCTACTCAGTCCAACCCTCGATTCCTCGATTCCCTCGATCTGCACTCCCTTCCCAAATGCTGGGAATAATTTCCCCTCTTCAGTATTTACAGCACCTCATGGGCACAGTTTATACCTTTCTAGCATTTAACTTATTGCACGATGCCAAAATTCTCTCTAGGATCCTAGAGCCCCGAACAACACCCAAACCTGCCTCTGTGTCTCCATGCAGGAGACCAAGTGAACCTGGTGCTTAGCAAGGGCTGCACTGAGGCAAAGGACCAAGAGCCCAGAGTCACATGGCACAGGGCAGGCCCTGGGCTGACTGTGGTCTCCTACACTCGAGTGTGCCGCCACGGGGACTTCTGCAATGATGTGTCTAACACAAGGACTTTCTGGACTCCACCTGCCTCTCCAGATGCCAGAGGTAGGGCATGGCATGTTAAGAGGAAGGCGAAAGCCAAGGGGCTGGCAGGGAGTGTGTGGGTTCCTTATTGACAGTCACTGTCTTGTTGTATAGTAGTCTGCTGGCTCACTGTCCACACCTCTCCTTGATTGCTTCTTTTTAGGATCTTTGCCTGCCTACTCATCCTTCACCCTTTCCTCACTCAGTCTCCTCTCCCACCGACCACACTGCTCACACACCCCTCAGTCCCCTCTGTTCAACTTTTCCCAGCAGTTCTGGAGCTCCAAACTCGGTTTGGGGTGTTAGAGCACCAGTTCCATCTCTGGCCACGATGCTAACATGCTCTTTCTGCACAGTGCTTCCTAATGCTGCTGGGTTGGTTCAATAATATCTCAGTGGATGTTTTCTATTTTCTCTTCTAAAGAAGAATGGGCTGTGATGTTTTCTTTTCTAGCCTGTGTTAGAGTTTAAGGCAATATTTCATGTTTGCATCTTCTAGAATATTTTGTAAGGAGAACATCTTATCTGCTTTGACTATTTAGTAAACTTGTAGGGGAGCCAGTGGCTTCTTCTAGGGCATCCTCTACATACTTGGCCAAGGCTGTCTGGATCTAACTTCAAAAGACCCCTCCCCTACTGCTTCCTGATTTTCAGAGCACCCCTCTTGTGCTTACTCTCAGGTGTCTTTCAGAAGCTCACATTCTCTCTGGTTCTTTCTCTTTCACAGTTTGCACATTTCAAATTCCCTGTGGCTGGATCTGCATGAGGGATCCTCAGTAGGGCATGTGTATGTGAGGGTGCTGGGGATTGAATAGACTGGTGATTTGGACCAAAACAGCCTGATAGGGTAAGGCATATGAACCTAATCAGAACCTTCTCAGTGCCCCACACTGTGTCTCTCCCTTCTGCCAGGGTCCTTAAGGTGTGCACACTGCTTGTCTAAAGATGACTGTCCAGAAAATTCATCACAGCAGACATGCCCAGCAGGGCACACTCACTGCTACAAAGGAGTGCTCAAGCTCAGGGGAGGTAAGTTTGGACTTCGGGTCCTATAGGGACATACTGGGACCACTAGAACCTGATATGTGAGTATCTGTATAGGAGGTACCATATAGGACTCAGAGGGAGGTGGGACTGGCTTCCTGGAATTGGTCTTTTCTCTGAGAATTGGATGATCCACTAGATCAGCATCTCTGTTTCCTGTCTCTCTTTCACCAGGGGGCATTTTCAGCAATCTGAGAGTACAGGGCTGTATGCCCCAGCCAGGCTGCAACCTGCTCAATGGGACCCAGGTCATCGGGCCCATACATGTGAGTGAGGACTGCGGTCCTAAGTCAGGTGGGTCCCACATGAGAAAACCAGGCTGTGGGCTGCACTTCAGGGTTGGGAAGCTGATGTTTAGCAGCATGAAACTTGCAAAAACATCGTATCAAAGCCAGCAACCCAAACTGATTAGATGCTTGTTACTCATTCAGGCTTGTGCAAAGTGAAGGGGCTCCCTGGGTTGCAAGGCAGTGTGTCGTCGTGAGGTGTCCACATGAAGGAGAGAGAGGGGAGTGTGGTCGAGAGGATGTATGTATAGGACAGGACCCCACTAGTAGCATTTTCAAATGATCCTGCACCAACTAAATGGGAGTGGCTCGTCCATGTGCTCAAGAGAGGTGAATGGGAAAGTCGTGGGTGCGAAGTGACTTGGAACATGACTTTCTGTAGCTGTCATTGTACAACCACTGGCTTGTTGGAATACTCAGAGTGATCAGTTGCTTCCACTTCTGCTCTACATATCCCTGAGTGTTGATAACCCTGGTCTGCCACTTGCCTTGACCTGCTGTTGTCTCTACCATCCTCTTTCATCCCTGAAGTCCCAGAGCAACGCAGTGGCCTTGCTGCACAGGAAAGAAAGAGAGATACTGATGGGGTGTCGGGGTTGACACAGAAGCAGGGTTCCATGGAGATTCTGAGTGTGGAGTCCTCACTTACTACTTTGTGCGTCCAGACTGGCACACACCAGACAGCTGGCATGTCACAGGGTATCTCCGTCAGAAGGCTTGCAAGATAAGTGAGTGAAGGCAGGGCAGAAATATGGAAATGGAGCCCACGGTCTTCCTTCTCCATGGCCAGCTTCCTCATCAGCCTGTATCACTGTAACCCTTAGCGTTTCAAAGACAGAGCAGAGTGAGAGCAGCAAACATCTCATGTGATGTTTCGATCTGTTTCCCCAGGGAGAGCGGAAGCCCTGAGGAAGTGAGCTGCGGGTCACTCACGTCTAGGTTTCCAGTCTCCCAAACCCGCAGGCTGGCTAAGAGAAGACACTTGTTGCTCCCTGTGGATGGCGACCTGACCTGGCAGTACATTTCCCAAGAGACTGGGCACAGAAACCTACTTGTTTGTATTTGCTGTTTGCATTCTATGTGCAGCAAACCTGGACTGCAAGAAGGGAGCAGCAGAAGCCATCAGGGATGTGTCGACTTTTCCACTAGAATGGACAACTTCTTGGCAGTCCTGTGAGATCGGCGAAGGGTGCCAAGAAACGGTGGTTCTCATAGTGAATGGTGAGAAGGGCTCCTGAAGTGCTGAGCTCTGCCCTTTTCTACTCAGTCCAACCCTCGATTCCTCGATTCCCTCGATCTGCACTCCCTTCCCAAATGCTGGGAATAATTTCCCCTCTTCAGTATTTACAGCACGTCATGGGCACAGTTTATACCTTTCTAGCATTTAACTTATTGCACGATGCCAAAATTCTCTCTAGGATCCTAGAGCCCCGAACAACACCCAAACCTGCCTCTGTGTCTCCATGCAGGAGACCAAGTGAACCTGGTGCTTAGCAAGGGCTGCACTGAGGCAAAGGACCAAGAGCCCAGAGTCACATGGCACAGGGCAGGCCCTGGGCTGACTGTGGTCTCCTACACTCGAGTGTGCCGCCACGGGGACTTCTGCAATGATGTGTCTAACACAAGGACTTTCTGGACTCCACCTGCCTCTCCAGATGCCAGAGGTAGGGCATGGCATGTTAAGAGGAAGGCGAAAGCCAAGGGGCTGGCAGGGAGTGTGTGGGTTCCTTATTGACAGTCACTGTCTTGTTGTATAGTAGTCTGCTGGCTCACTGTCCACACCTCTCCTTGATTGCTTCTTTTTAGGATCTTTGCCTGGCTACTCATCCTTCACCCTTTCCTCACTCAGTCTCCTCTCCCACCGACCACACTGCTCACACACCCCTCAGTCCCCTCTGTTCAACTTTTCCCAGCAGTTCTGGAGCTCCAAACTCGGTTTGGGGTGTTAGAGCACCAGTTCCACCTCTGGCCACGATGCTAACATGCTCTTTCTGCACAGTGCTTCCTAATGCTGCTGGGTTGGTTCAATAATATCTCAGTGGATGTTTTCTATTTTCTCTTCTAAAGAAGAATGGGCTGTGATGTTTTGTTTTCTAGCCTGTGTTAGAGTTTAAGGCAATGTTTCATGTTTGCATCTTCTGGAATATTTTGTAAGGAGAACATCTTATCTGCTTTGACTATTTAGTAAACTTGTAGGGGAGCCAGTGGCTTCTTCTAGGGCATCCTCTACATCCTTGGCCAAGGCTGTCTGGATCTAACCTCAAAAGACTCCTTTTCCACTGTTTCCTGATTTTCAGAGCACCCCTCTTGTGCTTACTCTCAGGTGTCTTTCAGGAGCTCACATTCCCTGGCTCCTTCTCTCTTACCAGTCACACATTCCCGATTCTCTGTGGTTGGATCTGTGTGAGTGACCCTCAGTAGGGCATGTGTGTGTGAGGGTGATGGGGATTGAATAGATTGGTGATTTGAACCAACACAGCCCAGTACAGGAAGGCATAAGAACCTAATCAGAACATTCTTGGTGTCTTGCATTGTGTCTGTCTCCTCTGCAGTTCCAGGGACCCTGCTGTGCCCACACTGCTTGTCTAGCAATGACTGTCCAGAAAATCCACCACAGCAGATCTGCCCAGCAGGATATTCACATTGCTACAATGGAATGGTCAGGCTCAGAGGAGGTAAGCCTGGACATTGGGGCCTCTATGTGGGTAGAACTGGGACCTCTGGGAAGTGAGATTTGAGTCCTTATAGCATAAGAGGTTAGCTGAGGTAAGATATGGGACTCAGAGGAAGGTAGGCCTGGCTGCCTGGAATTGGTCTTTTCTCTGAGAATTGGATGGCCCACTAGGTCAGCATCTCTGTTTCCCTGTCCTTCTTTTCTCAGGGGGCATTTTCAGCAATCTGAGAGTACAGGGCTGTATGCCCCAGCCAGGCTGCAACCTGCTCAATGGGACCCAGGTCATCGGGCCCATGGATGTGAGTGAGAACTGCGGTCCTAAATCAGGTGAGTCCCACGTGAGAAAACCAGGTTGTGGCCTTAGGGAAAGTGGTATTTGTCACTAAGACATGAGAAGACATCATATCCAAGTCAGCAACCTCTAATAATGTAAAGGTTTATTACCCAAGTGTGTCTGAAGTGGGCATTTGCTAGCTCCACCACACAGATGTAAAGAGCTTGGGTTGTCTCCATACGGACAGTTTTCAGGGCACAAGGAAGTTAGGGTGGTGAAGAGAGTTGAAACAGAGGGCTCTTTTCCCTGATTCTGCCTCAGTGGCTTCATCTGCTCCTGTCATTGTGGAAAGGGCAGAGTCAGTTCAGCTGCCCTTGGATTTACGTTCCAGTCCCCTTCCCTGACTATATTGGGAAACTTGAGAATATGTTTTCCTGCCATGTAGCTCAAGGGAAAGCTTGCTATGGAAGCCCTGGACATACATGTTGAAGTGAGATCAAGCTGGATTTCAAGGTATGCCATGAAACCCTCAGATTAGTCAGACCCTGCCCTGCCTTAGTGCTTCTGGGCAGGGTTGGAAGACATCAAGGCTTCCTGTGATCAGAACTATGGCAGGGAGAACATGTCACTCAGAAGGGCATAATATCCTAGTTCAAGACATGGAAGACCATGTTTTAAAGATGAGCAGCAGATTTTTGGTAGAAGAGGAAAAGCTCATTGACAAGGAACCTACCAGTACAAAGGTCTGAAGTTGGGGGTCAGGCTGCTGGTTCCAAGGAGTGCTTCTCACCTGTGCATGAGACTGGCTCAGTGGGATGATGTTTGGGTCTGGGTATGATTACAGAGGTGCTGCTGGGATTGAGAGTGATTACAAGTTTTCCAGGCAGGCCATGTGTGTAGAGAAGGAAAGGAGAACTTTCTGTGCAGAGAAATCCACAGGAGGGAGACAAAGGAGTCAGGAAGCCACCTGGTGTATGGGAATGGATACTGGTCCAGAACAATGGACCAGCGTGGGTGGGGTTGGCGTTCACCAAGCATTTGCGAAGCCAGGCTGAGGGGGTAAAATCCCAATGGTGGAGCAATAGAAGGCTGATGGACGGACAGAGTCTGGGACATTTTCTTTCCTATTGTTTAATGTAGGTGCTAAGGCTCTGTTCCTCATCTCTGAGACTAGGTAACAGTCATTACCTGCAAGGCATTCTAGAAATACACAGCAGACACAAGAAAATAAACACAATTACCATAAATTTACATTTTATTATGCATCATACACACCACACATTCCACACCACACACACATCTACTTCCACATCCCCCTCACAAATCATACATATGCTACAAACCTTATAAATCCCACACATCCACACAGAATACTCAATGCGCAATACATAAAACATATACTACACACCACACACATCACAGACAAACAAAAAGCAAGTATACAGAGTATCCACCATGCCAAACACATGTAACATCTACCCTATATTTCACACAGACTACATCATTACACATATACACCATGCATGCACGCTTCACACTCCACACCAGCTTCCATACAACAGCATACACAAAGCACATAAATGCCACACAAAACACAACTATTATACTACAAACAAATGCTCTTAATATATATCCATATTTTATCAGCATTCAGCATTGAACCCAAACCTTGGAGGATTTTTTGCTTCCCTGGTTAAGTTCAGCTCATCAGGTTAACATATATTCATTGAGCATCTGCAAAACAGGCATTATAAGCTGGGAGTACAAAAAGATGTCAGGGAATGAGAGGAAGAGAGAAGACCATTTCAGGCTGAGAAGAGCTCCCAAAGGCACATAGGTGGGAAAGGTCTGAATATAAAATGCAGACTATACAAGATAAGCCACCACAGAGTCCCATCTTGAAGATGAAGGAAGGAGCTAGAATACGGAAGCTCTTGTAGTCCCCCTGAGAAATTAGGCTGGTCTCTGTAAAAGAAAGTCAGAGCACAGCAGTTAAGAGCTGAGTATCTGAATCAGAGAGACATGGGTTTCTGGCCCTGCTCTGCCAGGGAGCCAGGTTTCGAGTCTCAGAGTCAGGCAAGGGTTAGAAATGTCCACATTTCATTCAGGTCCTTCTACATACCACACAGATGTTACAAACCTTGTAGCACAGGGGAAGAAGAGGGGGTTGTTTTAGACAATGAAGGAGGGAACATATGGAAAGGCCCTTGCCTGCCAGCTCTGATCCTTGATTCTCACCAGAACCCCAACTAGCTCTTAGGAGGACACTCAAGGTCTTGATTCTTCTGCAGTGCAGGCTACTACCATGCTCCATTTTGCACAATCTGAGCTCTTATAACCAGTTTCCCACACCCCTTACTTTTGTCTGAGCAGCATTCAATCACCCTGGAATTCCCTCTTCTCTACTTGTTCCCTGACACTGTGTTGTATCCATAACCCAACAGGTAGCATAGGTGGAGCTATGAGCTATGTGCTATGAGCAAGAGAGATCAGAGCAGATCACACGGATGGTGAGGTAGGAGGAGGCCAAGTCACACAGGGCTATTAAGGACTGAAAATGAAATTTTATTTCAGTTTTTAATTTTTTAATTTTTATTTTTTAAATTTTATTTTAAAAGAATAAAACAAAACAAAGCAAAGCAAAATAAAACGGAACAAAGTAGAGCGGAGTAAAACAATGCAAATAACACAAGATTTCAAAAAAAGACAGCAGGAAATCAACAGTGGCTACCATAATGTCTCTTGTTTTCTTTAAAATAGCTGTCCATACCTACATACACAATAAGTTAATGCACATCAAAGTAATATAAAACCAATCAAAACCCAAGAATGAGAGCCTTAAGGGCTTTCAAGACCAGACACTAGGAAATCAATAATGGCTACCATAATGTCTCTTGAATTCTTCAAAATAGCTGTCCATCTCTCCATACATACTGTAATCAAATAATTGAAAGCAGGCTAAAACCAATCAAAACCAAGAATAAAAGCATTATTGACTTTTGAATCAAAATTATAGGAAATCATCAGTGGCTACCATGGTGTGTTGTTTTCTTCAGTGTAATTGTTCATACTATCACACATACTAAAATCAATTTTTAAAACTCTTTAGGTGAAGTTGTAGGCATAAATAAACCTGTACACGTACATCTATCCTTTCTGTATTAGAGGAAAAAACAAAACAAGTAAATAAGTATATCTGAGAGCCCAAAACAATAACAACGTAGACTTTCAAAACAAGGGGGTAGTGATGTAACAATTTTTGTTGTTTTGCATAGTTATCTTCATAAGTCTTCTTTGAATTACCAGGTACAGTCATGCAAAATTGATCTAATCCTATGGATGTTATCTTTATTCCAAGAACAGAATTAGTAGTACAATCATCTTAGTAATCTTAAGTGTATATATATGAATTTATATTTTATTTCATTTCTCTTCCTTCTTTTCTCTTTTTCCCTGAGTTATTTTTTCCTCTTTGAGCAGTTTCTTACTCTTTCACAATATTTATTGAATATTTTGTATCTTATTTACTCTTGCAGTTTCTTACACTAGGGATACAGTACAGTATTTACACATGTGAGTTTGATTTATTTCACTTACAAGTATGGTCTCAAGTTGCATCCATTTACTTATAAAAGCCTCAGTGTAGTCTTTGTTTATAGTTGAGTAGTATTTCATTGTATAAAAATACCACATCTTTTTTACCTATTCCTCAGTTGATGGACACTTGGGTTGTTTCCAAGACCTGGCTATTACAAACTGTGCTGCTATAAACATGGGTGCACATATATCACTGTGATATGATGTTTTCAGTTCTTCTGGGAATATGCCCAGAAAGTGGAATAGCTGGATCAAACAGGACCTCCTTATGAGGGGATAGGTTTTCAAAACAGATATTGATGATATTCTGTATTTCCACAGGGTCTGTAGTGATTTCACCCTTTTTATTCCTTATTGCCTGAATTTGAGGGGTTTTTTTCCCTTTTTAAAATAAAGTTGGTTAGGGGCTTATCAATTTTATTTATTATTTCAAAGATCCAACTCTTTGATTCGTTAATTCTTTGTACTGTTTTCTTAGTCTTTATTGCATTGATTTCCACTCTGATTTTTATAATTTCCTCCCTCCATTTACTTGTAGATATTCTTTAATTTCTTCTATGACCCACTGATTGTTCAGGAGTGTATTATTTAATTTCCATGTGTTTATGGAATTTCTGCAGTTTTTGTCATTAATTTCCAGTTTTATAGCACTACGATAAGATAATAGGCATGGGATAATTTTAATTCTTTTGCATTTACTTAATAATGCTCTATGTGCTAGTATATGGTCTGTTTTAGAGAATGTCCCATGTACAGCTGAGAAGAATGTATATTCTGATGATGCTGAGTAGAACACTTTGTTCACCTCTACTAAGTCTATTTGTTCACAAGTTTGATTCAATTCTGCTATTCTTTGCTTTCTGTCCAGTTAATCTCTTTGTGCCAAAGGGGTGTTAACATTATAATTATGTTATTGCTCCAATGCCAGCCTTTTGAGGAAATTTTACACTGATTTTCACAGTGGTTGTACCAGTTACACTCCCACAAACAGTACAGAAGTGTTTCTTTTTTCCCACAGCCTCTCCAGCATGTTATTGATTTGAAGTTCAATGGTCTGCAAACAGTACAGCTACCTCTGCTTTTTTGGGGGGTGGGGGTGGGGGCGGTTCCTGTTGCATGAAGTGTTTTCATCTGTGAATTTCCTTTTGGGTTAGATGGGTTTCTTGGGTTTCTGGTATGCAGCATATGGTTGGATGTTGTTTCTTGATCCATTCTGCCAGTTAGTTTCTTTTAATGAATAAGTTGAGGCCATTTACATGAATGCTTATAACTGATATATATTGGCTCATTTTTGTCATGTTATCTTTCTGCTTTTGGTTCTTTACTTTTCCCCTCTCTTTAACTGTCTGCCCTGTTTAGTGGATTTTTTCTGTTGATGTTCTTGGAGTGGCAGTTGTTTTTATGTCATTCTAGAATATCTTTCAGTATTCTTTGTAGGGTTGGTTTGGTGGTCATGAAATTCTTCAGCTGTTCTTTGTCATGGAAGTATCTTATTTTCTCTATCAATTTTGAAGGATGGTTTTGCAGGGTACATCATTCTGGTTTGGAAGTCACTTTCCTTTAGGATTTGAAATATTTCACTCCATGCTCTTCTTGACTTTATTGTCTGTGCTGAGAAGTCTGCTGCAATTCTGATGGGCTTTCCTTTATAGGTGATCTGTCTCTTCTAAGCTTTCAATATTCTGTTCTTATGTTGAATTTCTGGGATGTGATTATGTGCCTGGTTATGGATAATTGGAGCTCTGTATGCTTCACTTATTGTGTACATTTCCTTTCCCACGTTGGGAAATTTTCTATTATTTCTGTAAATAGTCTTTTGATATCATTTGTGTTGTCACCTTTTCATTTACTTATGTCAATCTTATATTATTTTTCTTTGCATCATCTTGCAACTGTTGAATTGTTATTTCTTGGTTTCTTGTTATTTTTAACAGCTTTTTCCTTTTTTGTTCACCAGCTACAATCTTATCTTCTAGGTCTAAAAGTCTCTTCACATTCATTCATGTGGTTTTGCCAGCTTCCAGTGGTATTTTTGATTTCCTGGATGTCTCCCTAAATCTATTTCATGTTTTCTATTATTTTCTTATGCTGTTCATGCAGGGTTTCCATCTTTTTGCAGTGCTCCTCGACTTTTTTAAACTAATTCTTCTTTAGATGTTCAGCATTTATTTTATTATGTTTATCATTTCTTCTTTTACCTGGGAGATTATTTCTGATCTGAGTTCCTTTATAAATTCATGGAGTTGCTTCTTTACTTCATTTGCTATCATTTCAGATATGGCAGGTGTATGGCTTACATTTTATAATATGTCCATGATTCCTAGGCTTGTTTGGGATGGGCCAGAGGTTTAAGGTTGCCTTTTGCTTTTTTATTTTGTCATTTTCCTGCAATCCCAGTTCTCTAGTAGCACTTAGAGATTCATTGGATGGGGGTGTGCACTAGGTGGACCTTAGGCACTCCCCATATGGCTCACTGAAGTACCCCAGCTGCTTGAGGTCACTGAGCAAGGCTCCACCAGGTTCTGAGTGTGTAGTAAGGCTGAATGGTATGTCGAGTATACACGGCAGGCTTTCAGCTCATTCCACTTGGCACACCAAAGCTCCTTGGCTTCTTGGGGTCTCTGGGTGAGGCTCCACTAAGTTCCAAGCAAAGACCCACCCTGCACAGCTAGGTAGGGATCGATGTGGTAGGCTTCAGCTCACAAGTGGTAGCTCCTGGATACCTGCAGGACACGTGATGGGGCCCAATCAGGACTCAAGTGACAACCTAAAGGTCCTGCACTGTTCAGAGATGGTGTGTGGGGGTCTACCAGGTTCCAAACAGAGTTCCACAGCTGCACAGTTAGGTAAGGATCACTGTGGCACGCTTTAGCTCACACGCAGTGGCTCCCTGCTACCTAGAAGTCACTGGGTGGGGTCCAATCAGGACTGGAGTGATGACCCAGAGGTCCTACAGTGTTCAGGGATGCTGGGTGGGGCATACCAGGTTCCAGGCAGTCCCATGGCCACACAGCTAGGTAGGGATCTCTGTCAAGGATGGAAAATTTTATACTGAGTGGTTTGGAGATCTGTGGGAACCTTCTGAGCAGGATTAGCTGACTGACTTTCCCTTAAAGAGGATCTCTCTGGCTGCTGGTTAAGAAATAGGGTGAAGGATAAGAGAGGGGGCTTAGAAGGAGTACAAGGAGACTCACTGGGGAGCAAGGGAGAGCCCATGAGATCTTGGACCTGGACGGAAGCAGTAGAAGTGGTGGCAAATGGCCTGGCTCTGATGTTATTTTGCAGCATACACCCACAGGATTTCCTGATGAATGCAACATGGGTGTGAGAGGAAGACTTGTCAAGAATGAATGTAATATTTCTGTTTGAGAAACTAGAAGAAAGGAATTGCTATTGACCAAGATATAGAAGAAGGGGGTAGAAGTGGTATAAAGAGAGCAAAGATCAGGCTTAGGAGAAGGGGGAAGTAGTGCCGTAATTATGTCCTGTGTTAAAGTTAAAAATGAGTGACCCTCTCATTTTATACACTTCCTTAAGGGAGGAATAGAGGCTTTGGATTTTGGTATCACCTTTTTGAGGTTTCCTATTATCTCATTGGGGTGGGCTTTATCCTGTGCCATCTACTAAGACTTCGACTAACACTAGGATTAAGACTCCTAAGACTAAAGACAATACTAAGACTATAGATTATCGATTGAGGTTGATGCTGTCACCCACGTACCTTTGCTACCATTAGATCACTATTACCTAAGAAACTGTATTTTCAGTCTTATTAGTTGATCATGATTTTGACCCATGCTGTACTGGCCTTATGATTGATCTATAAAACTTCTTTTGAGAGATGGGTTTGTTGGCAACTTATTTGGGACCTCTCTTGTCTTTCAGGAGCTCTTCCTGTTCCCCATTTCCCTACTCCTATTCCTCAACCCTTTTCTCTAATAGATTTTCCTACTCTTAAAAAAAAAGAAATGAGTAGCCCTCTATCATGAGACTGTTGCAAAGGGTATATGTGTTTATTAACACCGAGTCCTAGAGCCAAAAGCATTTGTATTATGGAACACACTGCCATAGATCGTGTGACAATCATAAGAAAAGGTCAAAGCTCATGGTCTCAAACTAGACTCCAGAAGTCCTCTAGGACCAAGATAGATTAAGATGGTTACAATAGCTATCTTACATCACCCAGCCCAGCCCAGAGCAAACGGAGTCAGAATGCCTGAGTTTCCAGCTCACCTCTGTCATTTTCTGTCTGTGTGACACTGGGCAAGTTACTCACCAAGTCCTTTGCTTCAGTTTTGTGGCTTGGGAATGGGGATGTTGATGAAGACCAATCCACCTACTTCAAAGAATACCAAGAGGAAATGAGGTGACCCAGTCAAAGGTGAGGGTTAAATGGCCTAATCTACAGGTAGCAATTATAACAACTGGGTAGTAAGCAAGTACTCAGTACACTCTAGGAATTTGAGTATCTTTTGCTGAGAACACTTGTTTCCAGTTAAAGGAAACTTATGGTCTCAGGCTACCTTATTATACTGGAGAGATCTCTGATGCCCATATAGAGGGGTAGAAATTGGATGAAGATAAGGATGAGCCACTGTGGCTCTCACACCCACAGGGAGACGCTGCCTTCCTCAAAGGGCCATGAGTAGTGGAGCCTACAAGTGCTCAGGCAGAAACAGGGTGAACAATGCTGGGACTGAGAAGCTGAGACTTCAGGGTTCCTTCTAAATCTGAGTGAGGGACTCCTCAGCCAGGTAACATGACATGTGATTCACAGTGTGATTCCCTTCCTTGGCCTGAAGCCCGGAAGTACGTGTGTGGCAGGTTCCTTGGCCCATGAAGACTGGTGATTTCCTCTCCCCAGATACTGTGGTCTGTCATCGCGGAGTCATGCTGCAGATGGGGAGGAGATTGCATCAAGAACCAGTGGAATGGGAGGCAAGCGGACAACAGGACTGTAGTCCTGGAGAGGTGTGTCAGGAGACGTTGCTGCTCATTGAGCCAGGTATGTGGGCTGGAAGAGGGCGACACACTTGCACTGTGCCCAGTACATCCCTCCTCACCGAATTCCCTGCCCATTTCTCCTCATTCCTGAAGATCTCAGTTTAACCCCATCCTTCTCTGTCCCTTGGTTTCCTCGGATGCAAAATTGGGCCAAAGCATTGCAATGGTAGTACCTACATTGCTGGGCAGTTGTAAGGATATACTTGGTCATCCTTGCAAAGGGCTGACCACAGTGTTGGAACTTAGGAGCCTCCATAACTCAGTTCATTTGGAAAATATCCACTGGGCACCAGTTTAGACTGTGGAACCAGTTATGCTCCCTGATTGCAGCTTTTCATGCTAATGGGGAAACGGGAAGTAAAACAGACCAAAAAGTGTAAACAATGGACATGTAGATAAGAGCTCTGTAGAGGAATTGAGCAGGAAAAAGAATGTAGGAGAAGTCATAAAGTGAGAGCTGTAAGTCTGCAACAGGTGCTCAGGGAAGGCTCTATGGTGAGGAAGCATTTGAACAAGATCTAAGAAGCAGCAGGGCAGTGGGAAATCCTGGATGCAGGTCCTTGGCTCCAAACTGCAAGCTGCCCTCATAGCTTCGCGTCCATGAGCCCAGATTTCTTTTACTCTTCTACCCCAGCCCCAGGACAGCAATCACTCCTTGTGGGAAGCAAAGGCTGCAGCAGTCCTGAGAGACAGGACGGTCCAGCTGTCTCTATTCACTCAAACTTCCCTGGCATCCTGGTCGCCTCCTATGTCCGGTTCTGCTCCTCCAACATGTGCAACAGCGCCAGCAGCAGCAGCGTCCTGCTGGGCTCTATCCTCAGGCCAGGTATGGGCTCCAGGGAGGAGAAATACAGTCACTTGGGGCTCAAGCAGTTGTTTGCAGCTGAGCATCAAGCTGAGCACCCCACCTTCTTTCTGTCTCCCAGTTCCCCCTCCCCCAGGTCACCTCCAGTGTCCTGTCTGTGTACAGTTCAGTGGAGCCTGCTCAGATGATTCCAACATCATCACCTGCCCTAGCGGTACAACTCACTGTTATAAAGGAAGCATTGATACCCGTGGAGGTGAGTGGGTCCCAGGGACTAAGGGGATGGCACCCAGGACCATACCATGGGAGAGAAAAGGGTCTGGGGCCCTGAACATCCCCTTAAGGATGTAGAAAGCTGGTGTCTGAGTTCCTACATCAGGGGAAGGAAGGGTTGGGTTTAGGTTCCTGGGTCTGAGGAAGAGGTTAAGGACCTGGACTCTTGGGTCTGAGAGAAGACAGACAGGTGTTTGAACTCCTGGGTCTGAGGAAGGAGAGGTTAGAGAAAGGGAATTCTGTATCTGGTGAAGGAGGCGCTGGGGCTGAACACCAGATTTAAAAAGAGAGTCGGAAGCTTCAATTCCTGGGTCTGAGAGATGAGGAACTGCAGCCTGGACTCCTGTATAAGCTGAGCGAGAAGACACTGGAGATCTGAATCCCTAGGTCTGAGGGAGGAAAGGTTGGGACTTGGACTCTTTCTTGTATCTGAGGAAAGGCAGGGGACTGGTCTCCTGTATCTGAAGGGAAAGAAACTGTCACCTGGACCTGGACTGTCACTCTGTCCCAGAGAAAGTGACTGGGGCCTGGAAACTGCGTTTGTGGGAGGAGGGCTGGTGACTGAAAGCGTGGGTTGAGACAGTGGGGCAAGGACTTGAACACCTGGTTCTGCAGAAAAAGGACCCATGTTATGGATCCCTGGTGCATGGCCGGGACCTAGGCCCTTTGGTGTGAGTTAAGAGGTGCTGTCCTGAACTTCTAGATCTGGAGGAGAAATACTGGACCTAGGTCTGAGGAAAAAAGGCCTAGGGCTTTGATTCCAGTTTTGAAGAAAGGAGGTTGGAGGCCTGGACCCCTGAGGCAGGAGGGACTGGCACCAGGACTCGTAGTTCTTAGATTGAGAGTTCATGCTTGGACTCGGTGAGAGGAAACAGGAGCCAGGGTCTAGAACCTCAAGTATGGAGGGAGCAGGGCCAGGGGCCTGTACTTTTGGTCCAGCAGAGGAAGAGCTGGGGTTTAAACTTTTTGCCTCAGGTAGGAGGACTAGGGGCTGGATTCCTGGGTCTGAGGATTTAGGTATCTTCTATGACTGTCTTTACCATACAGGTGGGCTCTCAGCCACATTCAGCATTCAAGGCTGCATGCCTGAGAGTTCTAGATCCTTGTTGAACAAAGCCCGGAAGATTGGAATCTTCTCTGTGCATGAGAGTTATGAGGAGGAAAATTCTAAGGAGAAGAATAAGAAGACAAAAGTGCCCCGTAAACACAGCGGTGCCTCTGCTCCCTACCTGGCTTGGGTAGTGGGCCTTGGGCCATTTGTAGCTCTTTGGTGTGGGGGTTTTCTCCTCCCTGTGAAATCCATTTTTCCATGATCCTTAGTCCCTGATAAACACCTAAACTCTGTAACCTTATGGCCTGGGACACCAAATTATTTTCCCATCTGTGAATCATCATATCTCCACACCCCTGCACACTCTGTCACCTGATAATAACATCTAAGAGAGCTTGGGAGCAACTGAACTTGTCTGTACGGAAAAGGGAACATTCAAGTATTGGCCACATGTGTCTGGTAATAAAGACCCTGTCCTTTCTCCTAATACTCAGGCTTCAGTATGTAAGGGGAAGGTAGGATATGAGATAGAAAAAGGAGTCTGAGGAGTGACTCTCTAACCACGGTCACCCTCTGATGGTCTGGTCCACATCTCCATTCCAGCTTGAGCCATACCAGAGCTTGCAGGGTGTTGTAGCCAAAAGTATTTCAGGATTGCCATGCCATGGGAGGTGAAGGTGCGCCACGACTGTGAGCTTCTTCCTTATTGACCAAGCCCTCAGCACACACAAGGGGTTCACCTCAGCTGAGTGCCTGGAAAATGGGTTAACAATCAAGAGCCAATGGGTTAGCACAATTTCTCAGGACTATTTCTGTTGGGTCTTTCCTACTATCCTAGACTGAAAGGGGAAGAGAAGGAGCTGCTGCCAGAAAGACAATGCTGTAGAAATGTTGTCTTACCTGTGGTCTCAGGCTGAAAAATGCATCCCGCCTATGACACTACAGGCAGGAAGCTGGGGAATGAATAGTCCAGTGTCACCAAGTGTCCTCCCTCTGGTCTCCTGTTGGGGCTCCCTATAGGTTGAAAGCAGATGGAAGATACAAAGCAGGCCATCTCGCTGCTATAGTCCCACAGGTCAGCCACACACAGCACAGAGACAGTAAGGAGGAAAGAGTACATCTGTGGAAGGAATCAGAAATCGTCCCCACAGCTCACCCTTTCCTCTTCAGCACCCATCTTTTTCCTCTGTGCAGATAGAAGTCAGAATCCTCAATACAGAAGCCACACACGTCCAATGAGTTATCACACAATGATCAGGAATCGCGTGACAGTGACCGTGAAGTCATGCTCATAATGTGATAGACCACCCGCAGGAGGGAAGATAGGGAAGGAGAAAACTTAAGACAGCTGCTGAAGTGCTGGTTGTGTAAGTGGCTGCCTTTAGAGAAGCCTTCCTCTGATATCCATCCCATATTCCCTCATCACCTGCCAGTGTGGGGAGTTGATGCATGAACCAAATCTTCATTCATATGGAAGCATGAATTGAACGATCTTGCCTTACTGATTTTTTGCACTTTTCCAGTAAACAAGGACTGAGCCAAGGAAATATTCCCAAGGAAATATTGTATCTTCCATCTGCCTGTCTTCCAAACACATCCTTGACACATCACCCCGACCTCCTTTTGTTAATTTCAGATACCTTGATGAATACAGCAGTCCTTTTTTGATTGGTTGTTTCAGCAGATGAAGAACACAAAAAAACTTTGAGACCCTCAAGTTTCCACTGATTAGAATTCTGAGAGGAATCTTCACCCAAACAAGGTGAAGGCTGGGTGTGGTGGTGGATGCCTGTAATCCCAGCACTCGGGAGACTGAGGCAGGAAGACTGCTGAGAATTCAAGGCCAGCCTGGGCCACATAGTGAGTTCAAGTCTAACCTCCATTATAAAGAAAAAACCTGTCCCAAAAAAATAAAAACCAAAACAAAACAAGCACAGGGTCACAGAGAATAGAAGCAAACATCTTCTCATGAGTTGTCAAGTATACATGCATCTGGCCATGGAAGAAATGGGACAAAGTTTCACAATTAGTTTACTGTGTACAGCAGACTGTTCTATTTTTGCTATTATATCTCATCTGGTGGTACAAGCCACTCAGGCACTATTTCAACATTCTGATAAGCCAAGAGTCACCGTGTAGTGAGGTGTGGGGCAAAGTGACTGAGTTGCATGGGTCTGACTTTATGTCGCATCCTTTGTCTTAGAAGATACCCCTAGTTAGAAGCAATACAACATGTGACACCATAGCAACAGAACGGTCATTCTTTAAACTCTTGAAAGGCAGTGTTCACAGAACCACTAGATAGAGAACACAGAGGGCATCATTATTGCCATAACCTATTGTCATTCTCCCGGTCCTTTAAAAGTGATCAGGTAGACATGTAAATGGAAATATGACAGCAATGCAGACTCCTGCATCTCTGAAACTGATCTAGTATTAATCTAAGGTATTCCACCAAAGGTTCATTATTGCATCCAATTGATTCTCTTGTTGGGGGGTACAGTGCCAGAATTACCATTTTGTTTTGCTTCCATAATGGCTCCCACTCCATGGATTAGAGAATTTATGTGGGGGTTTCCCATTACCTATACAGGCAATTTGTGTCACTCTGGAGTGACACACATTATATAGAACGCATCTATCCCCTGACAGTTACAGTGGAGCCTGGCGTCCCCATCATGCACGTAATTTTCTGGACAGTCTGAGAATTTCCCTTTGACAAGGGCCCCATGTCCTCAATCAATGGATCCTGGGACTAATGGTGGACAGATAACAGCAGCTACGGAGGCTCTCTGAAAGGCTCGGCTCATAATTCAGGAATGGTGTGAAGTAAAGAGTCATAAGCAGGTGGAGATATGCTCTGCTGACCCAGGAACGAACTGGGCTGAGAGAAACCAACTTGGAATGCAGTCCTGGTGCTAGAACAGGAACAGAAAAGCCTCAGTGTGGAGGCTGGAGCCCGCGCCATTGGAAGCCGCGATTTGGGTTTCCCGCCGCCACAGCTGTGTCGGCATCGGCTTGGCAGGGAGAGAGACGCGCGGAAGCTCTGAGAATGGGAATCGGTGAACAGAGTTGAGAGCGGGACGGGCATGGAGCAGTGCACTGACTTGTGGTGAGGTGAGTGAGAGAAACTGACACTCTACCATAGTTTGACTCCAGCGGAGGACATTCTGGGACGGGGCAGACTTGCGGAAGCAGGGCGCTGTGGCGACTCCAGCCTCACATCCCCCTCTCAAGCGGGATTGGTGAGAAGTGCCTAGCCTATGTGACGCTGCTGGCGGACCCAGTAGGCTAGCCCAACCCAGATCCCAGAGCCTGAGGGTGGTCTGGAGGGGCGGGCCCCGCATAGGCTGCCTGATCTGCAACTTCCTGGTGTGCTGCTGTCGGCGGGAACACCTAGCCGGTGCAATTCGATCAGGCTGTGGCTGACAGGGAGGGAAGCTGGGCCTCCTATATAAGCTTGCATATATAAGGAACAAAGAATATGGGAAGAGGCAGCAATAAGAAAGGCTCCTCGGCCCCCAATCCTGAGAAACAGGTAATAGCGGATGCTGCAGCGTCATCTAGAGAGCCTCATAGATCAGTTCAGGAATGAAGTTATCAATGACCTGAACCTAGAAGTAAGCAGAATAGTTAGAGAAATGCTAAGCACCACCCAAGAAAAAACAGATGGTGGAATGGAAGAACAGAAAAAGAGGGGAGAATTGTTTGATGGAGAAAATAGAGAAAGCATAGAATACGTGAAGCAGGTTCAAAGGGACTACCAGGAAAATAAAAAGTCTATCGAAAACTGGCATAACAGCTTGAAAGAAACTAAGGACAGACTCTCTGAACTGGAGGGCAGATTTCCAATATGGGAGAATGAAATGAAAAACTTCTTAAAAGTAACAAAGAAACAAACAGCAATAATACAAAGACAAGAAGATGATAAGAGGATCCATAACTTAAGAATTAAGAACATAAAAGAAGAAGTAGGGACACAAACAAATGAACTACAAAAGCTACTCACAGAAATAATCCAGGAGAATTTTCCTAATTTAGCAAAAGGTAAAGATACTCAGATGTATGAGGCATACAGGACCCCAGCCACCTACAACCCAAACAGAGCAACACCCAGGCATATAATAATAAAAATTCCAGAAATTCAATACAAGAACAGAATATTAAAAGCTGTCAGAGACAAGAAACAGACCACTTACAAGGGAGCACCCATCAGAATTACAGCAGATTTCTCTGCACAAACCATCAAATCACGAAGAGCATGGGGGGAAATAATTCAAGCTTTGAAAGATAATAATCTCCAGCCGAGATTGATATATCCTGCACAACTATCCCTGGAAATTGATGGAAAAACAAGGTGCTTCCAGGATAAAGAGGAACTGGGGGAATTTGCAACCACCAATTCAACTCTACAGAGAGTATTGCAGGATATTCTAAAAAAGAAAAATACAAAGAATCCAGAAATATTGGCAGAGAGGCCACAATGAATGGAGCAGAGAACAAAATGAAGAAGACAAACTGACAACTAATGACAGAAAAAGAGCTCAACAGAAATGAGGAGAGAAGATTGGATGATAGGAACAGGTATTTTGGAGAAAATGACGTCTTAATAGGTAATACTGATTTAGTATCTTGTTTTGAAGTCTCATCAAACTTTTGTTCTTCTGTCTCCATTGGTCTAAACAGGTTGTATCTTATTGGATTTTATTATGTACGATAGTATAAGCAAAAACTTTTAAAGACAAGGAGATTATACAGAAACCATTGTTCATTTTCTGTTAGTTGATTCTAAATACCCTGTAATGCTGTCATTCTCTTAAATGGTTTTACATTGTTTTGATATACTTAATGCTACAGTATACGAAGTTGTATTCAAGGATTTCAAGGAAAGAGACAATATGGTAACTACTTTTATGTCAGGATTATCTTGTGGTGAAACGCTATTCTGCTTAAATGGTTATGTTTTGATCTGCGCTGATTTGCTGTTATGCCCTCTTTTATCTCAATCTCCACTCCATTATTTACTTTTTTATTTTTATCCTTTTAATTAAGGGAAAAATAAATAAAAATAGCAGGATATATTATAGCAACCCACTTTGACTTTCCATTATCTTGATTTAAAGCCTGTATTACTCTCACCATCTTGTTTTTGACTGATGTCCCCCTATTCTGCTTTGCTGGATAGTACCAGGTTCGAAAGTTTAGGCAACAGCTGTGAAGATAGTGGGATTCATTATGACGCCCATTCTCGATGACTTTTATCTACTTTTGAAGACCTGCAATGTCTCCAATGTTTTGGTT